ACTGTGTGTGTATCACGGACATCTCTTCTGGCTCAAGGACCTCGGGCCCTGTTGGCCCCGGAGCAGCTCCTGGAGGCCTGCACGCAGGAAGACTCCAGCAGTCAGGAGGGGCTTCCACAGCCGGACACTGTCTCCTCGGACCGATTCATCCCACCATCTCCACCCGTAAAACACCCAGCAGACCCACGACCTCCGCGTCTCCCAGCGGAGTGGTCACCACCATTATTGGTCAGCAGGGAGAGGAACGGGGTCAAAGTTACCTGCATGGCTGGGTTGCACCTCAGCAAGGAGCCCTGCTAGCTCAGAGGTTGAGTGCTGGGTGCTAACCATCAAGGTTTGCAGTTGGCGCTCACAGCCCCTCCACAGGGGACAGACGAGGGGGCCTGCTTCTGTAAGGATTAGAGCCTGGGAAACCCTGTAGGGCAGGCCTGCTCTTTCCTCCAGCCTCACTAGGAGTTGTAAGGGCAGTGGTTGGGTTTGGCATCTTAGCAGGGAAACAGAGTCTTAGGAGACAACAGGGGAACATGGTCTTCAAAGTCCTCATTTGACATGACAGAGACAACAAGCAAACCACAACTGGGGCCGTGGGAGTTTAAGAGGGAGGTCTGAACAGGAGACCTGGGATTGAACTTGCTTCGCTCAACCTGGAGGAGCAGATGGTGCCTTTTGCCACCTCGGCTCCCCCAACGTGGACATAATTTTGGGACATGGCTGCACATTTGACAGCGTTGGATAGAGAGGAAGGTGTATTAAGACAGAGGATTGGGACAGAAATTATAGGTGCAATTGGAGAGTTCTTCTCCGACACGTCACTTGTTAGGAGCCCTGCTGCGGCTGTCTGGTGAGTGTTGGACTGGTAACCACAAGGCCAATGGTTCAAACCCACTAACAGCTCTGTTGGGGAAAGATGAGACTATCTGCTCTTTAAGAATAGATAGCCCTGCGCAGTGTTGTTATGGGTCGCCGGTAGTTAGCAGCCCCTCTAACTGGGTGCGCCTCTCGGGCGGTCCTACATTCGCTGTTACTTGCACACATGCCATTCTATGTCATACATAAGAAATCTCAGTAGGCCTGCGTTAATTATCTTTGATTTTACCCTTAATAGGAGCATTGTTATATATATTTACTACATTTTGTACATCTGTTAAAGATATCTTCGTTTCTATCAATTACTATTTATTAAGTGCTCTCATATAGCTGTTTAATGTGCTTATATTGCTTGCTCTTTTCATAATTGGCTTCAAGAGTAAATAAATAGGCTTGAAAAAATGCAAGGGTAAATGGGTGATAGTTGGGGAATCATCACAAGTGTGCATGCAATTATAGATATATATGACTGCATAGAAGACTACTTCAGTTAATGGCTATTTCAGAGAAGAATAATCAGCAAAATCATTAATTATGTTTTAGTTCATAGTTATGAAATTTCTGCTTATTTGTGGAAATGCAAATGATAAATCTTATTTCCCACACCAGATGGCCAGGCTCAGCAAGTGCTTTCATATCCTGACAGATATAATGAAAGCAAGAGTCTGCAAACATAAATTAGCCTTAAAAATAGATAGGCAAATAGAACCACAATTCAAAAATTTTGCTACATGTTTTTCATATAACAGACACAAATCAATCTTGGTATTTAGCCACATTCTGTATGTGTATATGCATATGTGCGCACACATGTATGCGTGTTATCTAGCAAGCATTCAGAAAACGATGCCATCCTCATTGAATAGAGAAATGTGGATTCCAGCAAGGCATGGATACCAGTCTGAACCAAAGGCATTGGGGCGAGGCTTTTCATGTTTGGCCTGAAGGATCAGAAAACAGTTGTGGCAAGATTGTGAGCCTGGCGTCAAACTACCCCACCAGTCTTATGTTGGTAAGGGAAACCGTGGCATGGTTTATAAAAGGAGCTTTGTGATAAAGGGCAAAATTAGTAAACCATCCTGAAATTGAGAGGCACGTCTCTCCACCACCAATCTGCGGCAGGATCTGGAGCCAGTTAATTTGTCGCTCAGTAAAAATGCAAAGAAAGGTCTAGATGGTTTTTCAAACACCTGTCCTAGAGAGCATGCTGCTCAGGCCATGTAAATTCGTCGGGCACGATTCTATTGCTTCTTCTGAGGACTTGGGACTCCTCGCCTGAATATGGGACTAGATTTATTCAACTCCTCCACGCAAGTCCGTGCCATCTGGTCGATGCCAGCACATAGTGACCCTACAGGACAGGGTAGAACGGCTTCGTGGGTTTCTGAGACTCCATCTCTCTACAGGCAGAAAACTTCATCTTTCTCCTGTGGAGCAAGCACCTAGTAGTCTTGAACTGCTGACCTTGAGGCGAGCAGCCCCAGGAGTAACGCACTACACTTCCAGGGCGCCTAGATCTCAGCACAGTGACTGTTATCGTGCCCTCAGGGATCCTAGGGCATTCCTCCCAGTCAGGAATGATTCCGGGCGAACTGTAATTTTATTCTTGTCAATAATGCAGGCTTACACACAGTGAAGGCAAGCCAGAGAGTAAGTTTTCATTATTTTTAGAATCAGCAAGAGTTGACTGAGGGAGTGAAAATAAAAACCCAAACTAAAACAACATAGAAAACAAACATTGAAAATGGTCAAGCAAAGGAAAGAACGGTCTTTAGAAGGTTCTGCGTATTTCTTTGCACATGATCCAACATGCAGGCTGAGACACTTAGGTTTTCTAGGAAGCCATCTTTGAAGGGAAGCTTCCTAACACTGACTTTGGCGCCCCCTGCCGTGCACTTTCAGTCAGTGCAGCATCTTCTGCCCAGGCGCGTGGAGGACTCAGGTCTCTAAGAAAACATTCTAACAGGGAGCCGTCACTGTCCACAGAGCCGAGCAGTCAGCCGTAGGTGGGCTTTAAGTAACCAGCTTTCGAATTACCTTCAGACGCTTCCTGCACAAACCTTTATGCCTTATGCCCTCCACCCCGCGCCTGTGAAGTGAGATTTTAGTGAGGCCGAACGATTGGCACGGTGAAGTTGAAATGATCGTGCTCGCATCAAAGCAGGATAACATATTTTGACGTGAAAGATAGTGAAATCACAGCTCAATGGTTATATGTTTTCTGGGTGATAGTAAGAACTTCTGATGGCCATTGGTGTTAGAGAAGCGGCCGCCCTCTTTCTCACTCTGTATGGAAGTGTCGAGGTGCCAGGTGTTCCAGGGCGTGACAGCAGCCACTTTTGCTTCAAATGACATTAGGGAATTGGGGAGAGAAGAGGTGCTGAAGAGGAGAGTAGTTTATGCCTGCTTTGCCTGGATGACAGGAGCCCTGGTGACGTAGTGGTTACTCATTGCAGTTGCTAACTGCAAGGTCAGCAGTTCGAAACTTCCAGCTACACCTGGAAGAGGAGACTTCTTCCTGTTCCCATAAAGAGTCTCAGAGCCCCACAGCGGCAGTTCTACCCTGGCTTGCAGGCTCTCTGTGAGTTGGAGTTGACTTGATGGCAGCGAGTAGTGCTAGGAATTCCGTTTGATACCCACCCTGCGCACATAGGACTGGCTTTTCGCCCTGACACCTCCTGTAAGGACCTGCGAAAGCTGATCCTGAGTAAGGTATCGGTCAGGCCTTGGGAGCGAGCAACAAAGGACCCGCAGTGTCTGTGGCTGTTGGTCACTGACAAGACTGGAGTCCTGCAAGAATAGGTTTCCACTCTGGAGAGTGATCTTGGGGCTGTCCATTTCTTTGAGGCACTAGATGAAGAAGACGCCCAATGAGACCATTATCTGTCCACTTGCGTGGTCACAAGGCCTGGGGGCAGTGATTCTCAACCTTCCTAAAGCCGTGACTCTTTATCACAGTTCCTCATGTTGTGGTGACCCCCCCAACCATAACATTATTTTCGTTGCTACTTTATAACTGTCATTTTGCTACTGTTATGAATCAAGTGACCCCTGGGAAAGGGTTGTTCGGCACCCCCAAACGGGTCACAACCCACAGGTTGAGAACCACTGCCTTAACGAGAAGGGTGACTGGCCATACAGTGTCTCTGTGACTCTGGTCTGGGATACCACACTGTTAGAGAACATAGTCGATTGGACTTGTAAGTAAGGTACCGCAGAATTGTTCCGAGTTCCCATGAATGTCAAGGTATTGAACACTGACCCGGGGACGTGCCCCGTCTACAGGAGAGGGTCTGGGCGAAGTCTCAGTGCATAGATGATGAAGGGATGTGGAGCAGTTTGGAAGGACAAACAGGCCGTGCCTGGGAGACCAACGGCCTGACTTTACTGTGGCAAGTGGGGTTCTGGGAGGAGCATGAGGCAGGAAGAAATCCAACTGCTCAAGGGAATCTTTTCACGAGGTCCTGCCTTTACCATTTCCTTTGGCTTTCATTCCATCCCTTGAAGAGTCAACAGGGCTTTTGAGAGAGACCATTCATTGGGCAGTGAGCATTTGCAAAATGCATCTATTTAAGAATTAACCTTGGACACTTAGGATTAAAAGAACCAAGGGAAGGAAATGATTTTCTCAGTTCCAGACATTTAAAAGTGAACAATCTGTCAAAAGCACCGTAGAAGTTATGGGTCGGACTAGTAACTTTCTATGAGTAAGTTCACACCTTGAGGAGAAATCAGTGACAAATATCATGGGAACAATTCGTGAAAATGATTGAAATGAAATCAACTCCAATAGACAAAACTCCACCATGTTGCTATGAAATCTTACTTTTAAACATAAGAAGTTAATCAGAAAGCAAAAGCATACCTTTTTGCTTGAAGTGTACGGTGGTGCCAAGCTCTAAAAAAAAGAAACATTTAGCAAACCAAAAACAAAGAATGTGTTACCCCTTGAGCATAAACATCAAGGTAATCTGGTACTCTCCGCTGCCAGGTGAAGGAAAGGGCAGGAGAGGACAGTGCAGGAGGGTCAGTCCTGTTAGAGGCCAAGGAAGGCAGCCAGGAAGAGGCCGTTTGGTGGAAACAAAGGCTGTGTAACTAGAAGTGGGCCCCCCACAAAAGATTTGCAACTGCAAATAGCTTATGTTACATATTATATGTGTACATGAAGACGGGGACCCTGAGTGTGACATTGAAAAACATTCCCGACTCCAATTTTGTGGCACCCCAGAATGTGTGCGGTTCCCAACACTTTGCCCTTGAGTGACTTCAGCCCAAACAATTGACCCCCTTTACTCTTCTTTGAACAGGCCAAGTTCATTCCAATGTCAACACTTTGGACTGTTGTTTCATTGCAGGGCCAGTGCATTCAGATCTCTGCTGTAATATCACTAGCTCAGGCCATCTTATCAAAGCGAGTGTGCCCTGTTTATCTTTCTATTTCTGTAACCTCTTTTACGATCATACTTCCTGTTAATGTATTGCCTAATACGTGGTTCCTCTCATCCATTAGCATGCGTGCTCCCCAAGGGCGTCAGCTAGGTGTTCCCTGTCGGCCAGTCTACCTCTGGTGTGCGCAGCAGAGCCTGGTGTGCAGTGGATGCTCATGATCGATTTGCTGAATGTGTAGATGAGTCTGGGAGTATCTCCAGAAAGCATGGTTGCATCCTTTCAAGTGTCCTTCTCAAGTAAATCTCAGCGTTCCTCATTCTTTGGCATTAACCTAAGATTTCTACAGGGATTGCCAGGTTAGACTCAAGGTGGGTTGAACAGGTGGGCACACTAGGCCTGTGGGGTTCAGGTTTTCTTTTCAGGGAAGATCAGGACATAGTCTTGTGTTTCTGAAAGGTCAAGTTCAGCCAGAGAGTGAGCCTTTTGAACAGCTTGTCACCTCACTGTCCTGCTTGGAACTTGTCGATGCTTCCTTCAGGCTCTGAGGCAAGATACCAACATCCTCACTAGGGATTCCTTGGCCCCTCCACCGTGTGCCACCCATTTCCCCACACTTCTGCAGCCCCCACACTGCCCACCACCCCCACCTTCCGGCCCACCAGCACTCTGTGATTTCTCATTCCGGGGATGGATGTTCTCTCAAACCATCAGGGGGCAAAGGCTCCAGTGGTTTCTGTAGCTGGAATCTCATTCATTCCATAGAATTCAGTGGTTCCTTCCTCAGGGATATTTTCCTTGGGCTCCTTGAGATAATTAAGGGTTTTTTGTTTTCCATTTTTATGATCACTCTCCTTTATAGCACTCATCTCAGTTTTAATTTCAAAGATATTGCTCTGATTTAAACATTGTATCTATTCATTAATCCTTGGATTTCCCACTTGACTGAGTCCCAGGGAGTCAGCCGTTGTCTATCATTGTTTACAGACATCGCCCATTCAGGGACAAACCGAACCCCTGGAATACACAGCGGCCCAAACTCAGGGTTCAAAATCACTGACCAATGAGAAAAAGAAACAGACTCCAAGCTTCCTTCTAAATTTAAACTCCAGGAGACCTGTGTAGCTAAACTCTAACTCTCTCTCTCTGTCTTCTGAGTTAGCACAAGGAGGGCAGACCTTCAAACCCAGTTTTGCAGAGTTTTTGTGGGTCAGCATAAGTGAATCCTCTGCCTCACCATGCTTTCGATCCCAAGTCAGTCAGAAGCAGTCACCACCCAGCCACATGCCACTCCCTGGGCATACACAGGGCATCAGGAATGCTCGACTACAATTCAGCTTTAGCAAACCTTATTCCAACCAGGCTGTTCTTAAAAGAAAGCTGTGTCTGCCTGTAAGTACAGTTCTCCTAAAGTAGTCAGATCAAGGCAAGGCGCCCAGCCTGAACATTCTTTTGTAAAGACTACGAGTGGACCTCCCCATGAACTTCAGAGAAGGAGCGGGGGGACAAGGCCACCTGAATACTTGTCTTGTGAGAACCAGTCAACGACTACCCAAATGTTCCTCGTTGACAATGTAACAAACTAGAAGTCTGTAACAAAGAAAGGAGCAAGGCTTAGTCTCCAGTGTTTGTAGCTGCCACAAGCCATGGCACTCTGTGTTCTGAAGTGAAGCCCTGGTTCCAATTCCATCAAAGTAGGAACAACGGCCCACTGCCTGCTGTATGCTTCTCTGTGTGCCTCAGCATCCGAAGACGCACATGTCCACTGTAATTCAACAGAGTGCCTTCTCATACCTGCTCTGAAACCTCTCCTTTGACCTAAAAAGCTTTCCTTCATACGTGTTGAAAAGGCACCTTAGAGAATGTGCTCACGGTAATAGGAAGCCAAGAAAGGCTAATGAATGGCTCAAGGTCATACAGACAGTGCGAGGCAGAACTCGGGGCTCCCGATTGCCCCCATCAGAACCCTCTCCATCGGTCCCCAGGACCCTTCTGGCATTTTCATAACAGGCCCTTGGCTGGCACTCTAGGGGTATCAAAGGGGCATTGGGGCAATCTGGTACAGGCCAGAAAGCATCTAGCTCTGCCCTTGTGCTAAGTCCAGCCCACTGGTTTATCATTCCTTACAATTCACAAGTTGCCTTCCAGAGGAACTAAGTGATAGGCAAGCCACGGATTGGGCAGCATTTTGGTCAGGAACACAAGAGCAATGTGCCTAGGTGACCCAGTCCCTGGCCCAGACTTAGGTTAGAGGCTAGACTAGGAATCTCTTATGGATGAAACTTCCCCACTAGGAAGAGTTCATTAAAAGAAAGAATTAGCAGAACTTCGGTAAGGGGTGGGTTGGGGACATATAAAAACATAACATCTGCTTGAAACATAAAACAAACTAGATCACAAGTTGAATTTTAGGTAGCTGTCCTTGCTCTGAAGGACCCTTGGGTGGTTAACATGTTGGCTGCCATCAGCCAGGTTGGCAGTTTGAAACCACCAGCCACTGTGAGGGAGAAAGATAGGGCTTTCCCCTCCCATAAACAGTTCCAGCCTTGGCAACTCATAGGGTTGGTTAAACCCTGTCCTGTGAGTGGGTGGGCATCAACTTGATGGTGGTGAGGTTGGGGCGTGGAGAGGGGGTGGTGTTTAACTTAGAGGGTGGGAGTAAGTTTTCTTATTCTGTAGAAGCTCCAGAAATTAGTCAATTCTTCATTGGGCTGCTCATTACAAAGGCAGCAGTTGGAATTCACCAGATACTCTGAGCGGGGAGAAGAGGCTGTCTGCTCCAGGAAGATTTGCTATCTCCTAAACCCTAGGGGACAGTTCTAACCTCCTACAGGACTCAGCTCCACGGCATTGACGGTGGGTTGCTTTGATTTGCTTAGTCTGAATCATATCAACTAGTTTGTGAAACACATTTCTAGTCTTGGAATTCCATTTGTCTTTAGGAAACAAGAATGGGGTTCTTATTTGAACAATTGTTTTCTATTCCTCGTTTTCTGTTGTAAGAGAGCATTCTTTATTGCGAAGCAAGACATTTTGAGTGTATTGCAAACCCTTAACCTCCTTTTTGGGGAAAACTTGGTTATTTGCTGCCATCTTGTGGTCAATTTAAGACATGTGCCTACTAGCTGAAGAAATAACTAGAGTCCACTGGGTGGCAATAGTTGGGAAAACAGACCCTGTCCCACCTCCTTGAGGTGGCAGAACAGGGACAAAAATGCCACTTTTCTTGAAGGGATCATTGCTTTTTATTACAGAAAAAATATATACTACTTTTTGTTCTTAGCAATGGAAAATTATTCTGTTTTTCTAGTGCCAAGGTGATCTAAATTTTTGAATAGGACTCTTTCGTCTCAGATACGATTCCTGTGGAGAGTCCTAGAACTACCAGGAGCCTATAGAACCTACCAGGGGCCTATTGAACAATACCAGGATAGAACATACCTATGGTTTGCATCTCTTTCAAGGACTTTTCTCCCCACACGTCTATCTTGCTTCAGCAAATATACTTAACAGGCAAGCAGGTGCAAAGACTACCCGCAGAAGATAGCTGATTTCAACAACATGATGGACACACCATTTGGGGAGTCTAGTTGGCAGGTTCTCTCTGTGCTCCGAAAGAATTGGTGTCATACGTCTAGACCTCAGCTCCTCGTGAAGGGGCACAAGCAGCCAATGGAGAGAGATGGTGACACTAGAACCGGCGAGCATCTCAGCACATTTATTTGTGCTGCGAGTCAGCATCGACTCAAGGGCAGCGAGGTTTTTCTGCCACCTGCCTTTGATTTCTGACTTTCAGATTCTTTACACGCAGCCTGGAGCCAAGGGCTGATTCCAACTCTCTCACTGGCGTAAACAGTGGGAGTTCTTGTTCGATCTGGTACCCTGAAGCTTTCTAGTTCTCTGGCTCAGAGCAAGTGCCCAGCAAATTTGCTGTTTGAATGAACATCTGAATGAATACATAAGCAAAAGAGTGAATGAATTCATCAATCGATGTGTACTTTAGAAACTTCCTTCGGACGGTTGTCTTCCCCCAACCCCCTTTTTTTTTTGGAAGGGCAATGCCTTCATTCAGAGGCAGGATTATTATCAGACATACATATTTATTTGATGGGATTTAGGGAGCAAGGGAGTCCTTTCATCTTTCTTCTACTCCTGGCAGATAGAACATTTTCTGGGGAGAAATTTATTTAAAGAAAAATTTTGTTTTAAAACACTGTTTAATATTTCAAGTTAAAAGATATCTTAGATACTAGTTTGCTACATTTAAAATCTCTTTGTTGACTGCATTAGGGTGTGTTCCTTACAGGAGTGAAACTAGTGAAATGTATAGAAAGAAACAAATAGGGAGGGATTTATTTCAAGGAGCTGACTCATATGCTTGTAGAAGCTGTTAAGTCCTAAAGTCATGGGTCAGACATCAGGATGGAGGCTTCTTCTGACTCATGGGGGCAGGGGCTGAAGAACCCCAAAATTGGCTAGTTATATTGGCAGGGAGGAGTTTACGGAACTGAC